TCAGCAGGATGATCTCCACTAAGGGACTGTTCCAAAGCCCAGTGATGTCAGCGGCAAATTAGCCACAAGGGTCGTGGGGCCTGTGTCCCAGGGTGTTTGCCAATCAGAGTGGGTGGGTGGGCCCCCAAAAAACCAGCAGTTGAACCCCAGAATACTGGCCACCAGGCAGGCGGATGGGGAAACCCTCATGCCCCAAACTGATTCCATGGCAGCAGCACCAGGCATGGGAAGCCCCCACTCCCTAATCCCCGATGGCAGCAGCACTGGGTGGGCAGGGGAAGACCCAAACCATGGGACAGGGGAAGCCACCCCCATGCCTTACAGCCTCCAATCCATCCCTGGCAGAAGCTATGACGAGTCAGGGGCCTGGAACTGGAGACGTTCTCGCTCCCCGCTGCAGCCCGTGGGCTGTGGCACAGGGACACTGCTCCTCTGGTTATGGGGCTGAAGTGGAGGCAAGGGGCAGAAAGGGGTGGCGGGGCTGCAGTGGGGTGTGAAATGGGGGAGACCCTGGGTGAAACAAGATCTGGCCCTGGGGAAGGGGCAGAAAGGGTGGGGCAGTGGGTAGAGTCACAGGTGAAAGGGGTGGAATGAGGGCAGGACTGCATGGAGAAGGGTGGTGGAGGGCCCTCTCCAAGATCTCGGACTCCTGCCTTGAGCTTTTTGAAGCTTCCACTCCTAACTCCTTCTGGTCCATTCCCTTCTGGTGGGGCAGACCCAGGCTGACCTTGTATGATCCAGTGAACAAACTTCAACCACACGGCTGCATCACCAGTCCTGCCCCTCCAACCCCTGAACTCATCCAACAACAGCTTTTCTTTTCAATCCATGCCCATAGAGCACCATGTACATATAAAGATTACCACGATAACAGAGGCTGCATGCGAGTTCTTACCTCCTTCACAAGGGACAGGTGATAAGAAACACATTGATCCACTGGGTCATTCATTTTTTTCAGCAGCTGTTTGTTCACGAAGGGTTTAAAGGCCTTGTCAAACATTGAAGGGGTGCTGAGGACAACGAATGCGAGCGTGTCCTCAGAGTACTGGAGGTGAAAGGATGGCTGAAGAACAGCATTGTACCACCCAACCTTCGGCAAATAAAGACAAACATCCCTTAGAGAAAAGACACCTCGATTTTGTCCCACTGTGGCTGTGCAGAATTTCATAAAGATGAAAGAGACTGCTGCCCATCTTCATATGTACCATAGATGTGCAGAAGGCTAGATCCCAGAAGGCACTACCCCCCCGTGCAAGTCAAGGAACGCTGCTGTGGAGAACATTTTTTAGACCCACAGAAAAGTCAGTCAGGAGCCACACACAAGCTTGGGGAAAAACAAACAAAAACAAACAAAACAGAAGACCTCACTGACCTGGCCACCAACTGAAAAGCAAGGAGAAAAAAGGGACACTCACCAAGTCTGGATTAACTCTTCTAGGGGCGTAGGGCTAGTAAATTTTGTGGGGCCCCCTAGACTCTGGGATGGAACCAAAATGAGGGATTCAGTGTGTGGGAGGGGACTGCTGGAGAACAGGCTGGTGGTGGGGGTGCAGGGTCTTGGTGGAAGGCAGGGTGCAGAGGTAGGCTGGGGGTGCGAAATCCGGGGGCAAGGGGGAGGGGAGGAGGCACACAGGTCTCCTGTTGGTGCTCCCTGGGCCTGGTCTGGGGGAAAGTGGGGCCTCAAGCCAGTGTACTATAAGTGATGAGAAACTAACATAGTAGGAGGCGGGCTGGGGGCATTGCGGAGCGTATTTCCTGGCACTTTTCCATTCATGTGTTGGAACCAAGTTATTCTGCGTAGACTCCACTGCCTCTCTTGAAGGAGTAGTGGATACTATCTGGGATTCTCTGATTGGTGTCCCCTCTGGATCCTTTCTTTGGACCCTCTGATCTGATTCCTGTTCTTGGATGGGTGTGGGTTTTTTTGTGTTGTGTTGTGTTTTAGAGAGGTAGCTGTGTTAGTCTGTTTCAGCAAAAACAACATGGACTCTGGAGGCACTGAACTCCTTGTTTTTGTTGTATTTTGTTATTAGTCCCTCACTGTTTGGTTGCTCCTTGTCTTTTGCGGCCTCTCCTTTTTGTCAAGAATGGATTTTACAAGGATCAAATTAGTGTGCTCAGTCCCACACACTCACCCTGCCCCTTGTGATGTCATAAGGGCTATGGCAGACTGCTGGAAAGAAATCCATATTTCTGTTCAGTCACGTGAGAGGCCACATGCTTTACTTCTCCAGGCATAAACATTTATTTGTGAAGAAAAACGACATGATGCTCCCAACAGCCCAGTAATCCCTCAGCGGAACATTAGGTGCATCACACACATTATGATGCTCCCAGATTTCAAGAGTTACCTTCATGGCTGGATGTGTCATAATGCATCCCAGCTGACAGTATGAGAAATTAGGGAGCAGATCAAGCCAAGATAGCAGGGAGATGTGAGCAGGAGAAGAGAGACTCAGCCCCAGGAGTGCTGAACACAGCCAGGTAATAACTCAAAAAATCCTAGCCTAATCGATGAACAGCAGGCTATACAACTTGAATACACAAGGCACATGTATTCTTTCTTACAGGCCCCTATGATTTCATAAGTGTCTTGCAGTTTTGCCTCCTGGGAGATCTTAAAGGCCAATATTTACTGTCCCTTAATATGTTTTTTGGAGAACTATATTTTTAATATACTATGTGGAGTTTTTCATCAGGAAGCAATAGGGACCATCCCACACATAGACATCTTGTATGTTTGAGTTTTTACAATAATAATAAATTAAAACTGCATGATTAGCCATGCAGCATGCTTCTGTAGGCATCTAGGTTATAATCTGCAGATCATTACTCCTGGTTGCAGATGGAGGCATAGGAAAGGGTATATAATTTTCTGTCTAAGGAAGGTCTTCAAGTTCCCCAGAAAAATTGTGATAGACCCCGTGCAATTCCTTGCATTGTCAGGCCCAGGACCTGCAAACATGAACTTTACAAGGAGCAGTCCCTTTGAACCTAGAGGTAGAGATAGAGACAGAAGAGCTATTTCTTCTGTTCAGTGCTAAAAACTTGGCGAGGCCATGGCAGCGCCATCTACTGTCTCTTAGTAGCTATGGCCCTGCACTAGTACTCCCATAGACAGGCTCGAATGCCCCCTAAAGCGAGCACAAATCTTTCTGTTGGCTTTCCTGAAAGCAGGACTGGGCCAGTGTTTAATCAACTGAAGCCTGTGCAAGCTAAGAATGCAAAGGACCTTCTCAAGAGACACTCAGCACATTTTATGAGGTGCTCTCATATAGTAAACAACATACAAAGTTAATGAGAGTACAATCTCTAGCATGCATAAATTGCTTTACATGCTTCTGAGAGCTACACAAACATTAATACAACACCAAAGGAAGGGAAACAATTCCCATTCCCATTTCACAGTTAAGAAACTGAGGAAGTCAAGGGATGTCACCACATCATTAGAAAAAAAAAAGCTTGATCTGAAGTGTACCTATCACCTCCTAGTCTTTGCTCAGTCCAGGAGGCCAAACTACCTAGTAGGGATGTGAAAGTGTAACCAAGAAAACGGTCTGAGCTTATCAGTTAACTTGTGTAGACAGCGCCAAACTGTAAAATGAGGCACTATTCCGACAAATCCCTTACCTAAAGGGATGCCGGAATAGCGCAAGCGCTATTTCAGGAAATAGCAGGTGCTTCTAAAGATGCGGTGTTGCTATTTCGGGATACTTCCCGTATCCTGAAAGAGTAATGTACTCTAGACGTACCCTATTATCTCTCCTAAAATATTAGTTTACAAAAGATTGGTTTAAGAAATGTATAGTTTCAAGGAGGAGATTTCTGATGAAGGCTTTCAAAATGTATGTTGGCCCATACTGAACTTGAAGATCAACATTCACTGACTCTGACAGCAAACCTTAGTTTCACCTTTGCCTAAGTTAATATTTAATTCTTGGGTCAATAACGATTTTACTTCTTATAGCGGTCAGTTTCTAGACTATTGTCAATATTTAACTTTCAAGTCATACAGTTTGATGTTAATCTCAACAGAAGTCAATTATCTGATTACTATCATTTTGTGTAGCTCATCTGTGAAGTTATATAATCCCTTCTCACACTTTCCTCCAGTTTTTATCTCCCATTCTTGCTATTCTCCAGCCAACTACTCTGAATTTTTCAGCTTCTAATTTCCCTGTTCCTTTCAACAAAATTACACATACTGCAGCATATATGGAGAACATTTTCCTACGTATTTAAAAAATTGCACATGGCCTCTCTCAAAAGTCTACCAGTATCAACTGCCACAAATAAAATACTGTCCCATGATGCATTACACAGAAAACAAGGCGGTTTTGGAAATAATCTGGAAGAGTGAAGATGCAACACACTTAGGAATTCTCAGACATCCTCCAGGGGACAGATTGTTGTTTACGGTAGGACTAATGGCACTGGGTGCAGCTTTCAAAAGGCACGTGGCTTCTCACAGAATCAGGCCCTTTAGAAAAAGGCATTCGTGCCAGTTTTAAAGGATACTAGGCACTTCACCTGCCAGCTAACATCAATAGTGGGATAGATATAACGAGACAAAAATAATCAATGGGAACAAGTGAAGGAAAAACAAGCATCGATATGCTTTGAGCATTGGCCTGCTAAACCCAGGGTTGTGAGTTCAATCCTTGCAGAGGCCATTTGGGGCAAAAATCCATCAGGGATGGTACTTGGTCCTGCTGTGAAGGCAGGGGACTGGACTTGATGACCTTTCAAGGTCCCTTCCACTTCTAGGAGCTAGGCAATCTCCATTATAAGATATATGGGACAAACTCAGTGATGTCTGGTCAGCAAAATGCAGTTCAGGAAAAGGAGTTACAGACTGGTGAAGGTTTCTGGGTGAGAACCTACCACATCTTGCGGGTTGACGCGTCCCTGCAATGCTACCTTTTTGGCCGTGGTGAGGCAGGAACTGGGCCGTATCGTTTCCTGGCAGGGTCACAACATGCACTGGCGGGTACAGCCTGCGGGGATGGGGTGTGGGTGGAACCACGTGTCCCACTGGTTCCCCCACCTCACCCCTCCAGGACACGGCCACGCGTGGGGCGCCTGCAGGCAGCACCAGGGACGAGCCCGGATCCACTGGGGCCCCCCCATGACACAACCTA